AGTCTTGGCTGACACCGTTTAACCTCTGAGTGAGGCCCCGATGATTATGGCGTTCCTGGGACAGGCAGGACGGATACCTGCGATTCCTGGGTGACTCTGCCAGTAGAGCAGAGAGCATCGGGCATCTGTAATCTCCTGCAGCCGCGTCACAGCTGTATGCAGGACCAGAGGTACGATCCTGTCCAGAGCAGATGTGTACAGTGTAGGTTCATTGTGTCCTTGAAAGTAAAGGGGCTGGGGAATCAGTTCATTCTTGGACACTCCTAAATAGGCAAAGCAATGGGCCTCAGCAAGGCATTTTATATAAATGACAAGGACACAATGAACAATGCCTGAAGCTCTCCACTCGCCTGGCAGTGCTTATTACCTGCTCCTGCTACACTATCTTGTGGTGCATTGTAGCCAAATGCCTTCACTCTTTGCAGTCAGCTGTGCTCTGGCTGAGATGAGCAGCCTGCATAAAACACTCAACTCGCGCAGTGGAAAGTAATGGGGTCTGACATCTATACCTGAGTGAACAGAACTGTACTACTACACTGCAGTTTAGACTCACCCGTCCAGGTTCATGTTCATGTATGTACTGTACTGTAAAAGGAACAAGTAAAGGTTCATTCCATGCTGAAAAGAGAAGAAAAGAAACACAACCTTTTGGCTGTGGAGCTTCTTCAGAGCCAAAACATTATGTTTCTTTCAATCTTCTTTTCAGCATGGAACCAACCTTTACTTGCTCCTTCGCAGCCTACGCATGCTGTCGCAGCTACAGTATGTGTTTGATGTACAGTATATACTGCATTTCCATTCCTCTTAATCAAGCCAGGCACTAGCAATGGATTAAATCGGGAGTCATCCTGTGAATCTCACTTTAGGATGACTTGCAAGGATTAGCCTTGCAGTATAGGGTTAGATACAGTAGAGACTGAGTGGGGGCTATGTCTGCATGTGTACAACTGTATAGTAACTCTAGGAGGAGCAGGTTTCTTTATGCAGACACACCCAGACTGTGTGTTAAAAGTCAATGGCTCCACTAGACGAAAAGGTAGAAGCAAGCAATGAAGATTCCTAAGATCGGGAAACTGAAAGGTTCACAAAGGCTACTTTGCCTATAACAGATCTTTCCAATCTATCTGGATTATTCTTCAGCACTTGGCAGATTTATGTGCTATTTCACTGGAAGGTAAATGTTTAATTACTGCTTTTGGATGAGAGTGTAGTCTTATGAAATGTAACGTAAAACAAATGTCTTGAGACAACAAATAACAAAATGTATGAATATTTAACTAAACAAGATGCTAGAAAATAAATATTTTCAAAAAAAGGATGTCATAGTTTAATATTCTCCCTTTGCTTTTATTTGTAAACAGAATTTCATGCCAGATGTGGCTGTTTGAGAGAAACACACTAGCATTTCATTAATGAGGCTTAATGATAGGTAATAGTAAGGTTAGGTTTTTGCAACTTCACAATGCCTTATGAAAATCACTAAAAGTTGTATTTCTGCAGAATTTCAGTAAGATTTTCATTAAGAAACGACAGCTAATAATTTGTCCTTCAGAATTTGTGGTTCCACCGTTGCGTTTTGTATTTGTCTCCAACTCTGGGTTAGTCCCACTTGACAACGGTCAGATATCTTTAAGGGCCCCAGTGCCATACGATTTCTGAATGCCTTAACTGTCAGTAATGTTTCATATTTTAATTTTGCTGGAAGATGGTGGCATGGTGACGCAGTAGTTAGTATTGCTTCCTTGAGTGCTGGGTCCCCGAGTTCAACTCTGGACCCAGGGTGCTGTCTGTGTGGAGTTTGCATGTTCTCCTTGTGATTGTGTGGATTTTCTCCAGGCCTATGGCTTCCTCTCACAATCCAAAGACATACTGGAAGATTAATTGGCTTCTGGGAAAATTGGCCCTGTTGTGACTGTGGGCGTGTTTGTGTCTGCGTCTGCCCTGTGATGGACTGGCATCCGATCCAGGGGGTACCCTGTCTAGTGCCCGCTGCTTGCCAGGATAGGTTTTGACTCCCTCACGACCCTGTATTGGAAGAAGTGGTTAGAAAATGGATGGATGAATGGTCAGTTACAAAGACAAACAGCAAGCAGCAGGAAAGAAGCTGTACAAGCTAGACTTAGTCGTGACCATGCTTGTACACAATCCTGTACCCGTTAACACTTATCCTCTGGACCTGAGGATGGGAAAATACATTTGAAAATCCTCCTGGTTTTGATATTTACGAAAGGAGTGCTTGCTGTGCTCAGACAGGAGCTGTTTTGGAGGCAGTCGGAAGGCTCTGTGAAATGAAACATTACAAGGACCTCAGAGAGAGTGCTTTTTAATCTTGAAACAACTAGCTGTTGTGTCAGAATGCATTTCAATGAAAGAGCTTAATATACCGTAACTACTCGACTGAAGAAGCAAAAAAGAGGTCTGTAACCGAGCAGATGCAGATGTCAGGCGTTACTGGCTGAAGAATGTGTCTAGGCTTTAATCCAAGGGTTCAGTGGTCTGGCTGGACTGAAACTCGACCACATTACTAAAAAGTAATCTGACCACACGGCCCCTCATAATGATGTCTAACCTCCTTTTCACTGGGAAACAGCAAGAATGTTTTTTTTTTTTTCAGACAGTACGCACAAGACATTAAGTCAACCTTGTAATGGAAGATCTGGGTGCTCCAGTGAGGTCATTCTTAAGTGACACCAAGTCCAGCGCTGGCCTACTGAGTCGCTTGGAGCCTTGGGCCTGGAGCAGCCCTAATGGAGACTCGGTAAAGGTTATAAAACAGATAGGACCCTTTCCTAGAGACTGTTCTGTTTGCCAGGAGACAAGGCTACATTTAGTCCCATAAGCCCCTTTTCTTTGCCTGTCTGAGATTTTCCATCTGTCAGCGTAAAGAAACCCCTTTGCTGCCCCATGATTTGAGGTCTGAGATCTGATGCGGTTTTGGGGATGCAGCACAGAGGCGCTGCCAAACCATCCTTGACTGTGCTGAGGGCTGGAGAGTGGCAGAGGGGCAGGGGGGGTGTACTGTTGAAGTGCACGTATGGGCTAAGACCCAGTTGAAATTCATACATTGAGGAATGTTTACTGAGCAGTTAGGCTGAGATTCTGGTCTTAACTGGCTTGGCTGCAGGATGAGGAGGCTGGGACCCTGCTGCAGAGAGAGGAGTTACCCAAGGGGCCACTGTGCAGGGGTACAGGGAGCGAGCAGGAGAGAGGGCTTTCAGGAAGTGATGTCATGGAGAATTCCGAGTCAGAGCAGCAGAGGTGAGAGAACTTTGGTTGCTGCCATTCCTCTGAACTTGCTTTAAAAACTCAATTTCAGAGAACCACGTTCAACTCTGTTGCTGCTTTGGGTGAGAGGATAGAAAAGAAAATCTAGACTAAATTACTGCGGAAGGCTGGATTCTGATCTTGCATTTTATTCGGGATCAAAAGATGACTTTGTCTTGTAATGCCTTTTTAAAGCAAAGAATAAATTGTTAATGTTTTTTTTTTAAACTGTGGGTTGCGGTTCCCTTTTATGTTAATTATAGCTTTTTAAGGGCCTCCGCCCATGTTGAAAAAAGCATCTTTAACACAAACATAATAGATACGTGGCAAAACATCAAGCACAAAATGGAACAGGCACAAACACATCTGTACCCAGGTATATAAAATATGTAAGACAGGGTGATATTTTTCTCAAACCTGCAGGAGGACAGAGGAAAGTGTGGAATATTCTGTTTTGTTCTGGGGTGTCACCATTTGATATTGGGGAGCTGTGTGAAACTGCAGAAGCTGCATCCTAATCTTTAATGCAGGCTGGCTGCACACGTGAGAACTACATTTGTAAATCAGTTGTTTACTCAACTGTGTTTGGGCATGAGGGCATCTAACTGCAGACACAGATTATATCTGCTACCTCCTTCTGAGTCAGGGCTCAGATACTGTAATGCTGCCAAGCTACCTACAGTACAGTAGTGCAAACCTAGCAGTACTGAATGATGCAACATGGGAGGAGAGGCAGAGCTGGACGCATCCCCTCTTAAGATCGCGACCGAAGAGATACAATATAGCAGGGGTAGGGAGACTTCTTGTGGACAATCTGACGTACTGCATCCGTCCAAGAAATGCTTGGGACCAAAACGATCTTTACTGATCTTTGCAGCTGACAGGGTGTCAAGGTCACTGGAGCCTGGACAGGCGTAGGAATAGGATTTACTGTCGGAAGACCCGTGAGTGAGCCTAACTGACACTGTGTGTGGGTGGATTTCAGCTTCAGTCCCAGTCAAAAAAGTCGTAATAAAACGCACCATCATAAAATACAGATACCAAACATGATTACTTTTACGTTTTATTTGTATTCAAAGATGTTCCATAAAGATATGTCTTCTATACATTAAAAGAAAAAAAATGTTTATTTAATTTTTCATTTGATTGTAATTAAGCATATTTGTAAAGCACTTTAAACTGATTTTCACTTCCTAGTAATTACGTGTAATTCAAAATATAAGCATTTAGAATCCTCACAATAGTACAAAGCTTAACATGTAAAAAAGCCCCACTCATGTTATTGAACTTGGATGCTGTTCTAAAATAAATGCTTTCCCACTTTCCTATAATTCATTGGGCCTCACATTAATAAGTCTGTGCCGGTTATTTAACTTCACTGCATTTAAAAAAATAAGCTTGTACAAATGTGCTTTATAGTTTTAACTTTTCAGTACAGCCCTGTCCAATGTCAGTGCTGGAAGTTTGACTTGCAAATTAACGTTGTTTTACTGATGAAACACAAGTAAAACTTAGTCCAAATAATCCAATCACAATATTAATGAAACCCACAACAGATAAAATAAAACTATTACTTAGTGCCTTATGAAAATGTGTAAATGTATTATGTAATTTGCTATTTACAACATGTTAAGAAGCTGTCCGTGTCTTGAGTGTAAAAGGTGATGTTAAATGGCAGCTACTGTATGTGTTAGCATGCTTTTCACCCAATTAGAGAATCATCTGCTCTTGTCGTAAGCAAATCAGCCTAAAATACTTTAAAAACATTAGAGCAGTTCAAGACGCCATCAAGGCAAAAATAAGTAAATCACCAAATAAAAGACACTGAAACAAAAGTATTCATTTTTTTTCACAAAATGTAGATATAAATATGTGTCTGTGGTTTGAAGACAATTTCACTTTCACTGCACAAAATAACCACTTTCTACTCAGAACCACAGGGAACGAGCTTAAGGAAACAGCTCCACAAGGATGGAGGGTGACATGCAGGCCAAAACCTCTGTTGATAGCAAATTCCACCACTGGCTGCTGAGTACCTGTACATTTCCGAGCACCTTCCCTGTCAGGGTCCCAGTGTCCAGATGAACAGTTCTGTCAACCCAGAGCCCAGCTCCAGGCTGCCCACAGCAGTCTCCTGTCCAGTATTCAGCACTGATTGGCTTCTGAAGGACCCTGCTACTGCTATATGTGCAAAAGCCAAAGGTGAAGATGAAGTGCTTATCCGGCTGCTACTGATGTTTCTTCCAGCATGCAAAACACAGCTGCCCATCTGTTCCTCATCCGTGTCTCATGAATAGAAAAAAACCCTAAACTCAGAGTTTTGAAACATTGCGCTTGCAATGGGACAGTCTTCTGCTGTTCTTCAGGAACATCTGGATATTTTATTCTGGCGTTTTAGAACGCAGGGGTTTGATCTCTCTACCGGAGCACTCTGCTCACGTGCTGTCAGCTCATGCTTTGTGTGAATAAGATCATCGAACCTGTGACCTCTGTAGCTCATGCCCTACAATCCCCACAAGAAGTGTTCTGGTCTTGAGCGGTTCCACTCGAGCGCATTTCTAAATGGGCTGTACCCTCCGGTGCCCTTCAGCGGACAAGAGTTCATCTTCAGAGGCTAAAAAAACACAAGCAAACAACACAATAAACGGAGGAGACAGGAATGCTTTCTCTCTCTCTCTTCTGTTCTGCCCAAGGATGAAACATTGAGCTCAGATTGTTTTTCAGCTGTGTGGCAAAACTCACAGATCCCTCATGAAGCAGGCCAGCTAACAAAAGGTGGTCATTTCTCAAATTAATCAGGAAGCGCTGGCAGTTTCTGCACAAACATGTCACACTACCCATGAAAAATCAGAACCCAAGGGTTTGAAGAGAGAGTCCGTTTCTGATATTATGGGGCCAGTGAACAGGGGTCTTGTTTTCCACTTGCACAGAATTTCTCCAGGGATGTGGTCTGCAGGATCTAAAAGGAGCTGCACAATACTGTGAACTCAAGCTCTGCCCTCAGCCACTGTGGCTCTCTTGCGTCTTGTCTTTCATGCTATTAAAATAAAAAAGGTAACATCTGTGCTTAATATTATCCAGATGTTTGTTAAGCAGGCCCTTCAGGGCAAAGTTTGTGGGCTATGTATTTGTGTTTGATGTTTATCAAATCAAATGCAATGGAAATCTTAGTGTCTCCCTACTAAATGGCGATTTTATTTGTGTGCAGAAGCTCCTTGCAGCTTGGAAGCGCTCAGAACCCCCTTGCCAAGATCTGGTCAACTAAGTGGGAAATTAAGAGCAAAGCCAAGCAGAGCAAAACCAGGACAGCGGCTGAGCACACGGGGGAGAACAGTTCATGCTTCACAATGTGTGAAGGCAGGTTTACCTCCGCCCTGGGGCTGAGAGGGGTAAACTACATGTAGGGGTTAGCTACACCTGTCGCAGATGAGTGTGCTCCTGCAGTCTCAATCTCTTCCTCTCTCAGTTAGAAAAAAAACACAGCTCACTCCTAGAATAGACCATTCTCATCTCTGCTGCTTCTACATTTCTGCTGCTTGGTCACATCCTGTTCTCCTTTTGCCCTCTGGTGTAGAAGAGTGTCGAGGAGGTGGAAATTAGCAGACTGCACACCGAACTAGCAGACTGTGACAAGGACAAGTGGCATCACTCTTGCCAAGCTGAACTACAGGAGCAGAAAGGGCAAAAGTCCGCTTACGAAGAGATGGGGAAATGTAAAATCAGTCAGCAAAGCTGCAGAGATTCCCTCAGAAAAGAGCGATTCACGCAGAGGAAGCGTATACAGTGTTTTTTAAAGCAGACCACTCTGAGGCCTCGAATGAATTTTTCGAGGCCTTTCTCCCCTCTTGCTCAGTTCGTCCTTCTAAAGAAGAGAAAAAGAATTCTTTAGATATAGTGGCAAAGAACAGATCTCCATAAATGTCTTCTGAACATACCTTTGTTTTTCCAACATAAAAAAAAATTGAATTAAAAAATATGTATTTTTGTGCTAATAACATTCGTATACCTCCTCAAAGGCTGCCACTGAAGAAGGACCAGTACATGGAAAACATCACTTCTGATGGTGATAACTTAAAACATAAAAACTGTAATAAAACAAGAAGTGTTATAGTAACTCTTTTGCAAATTCAAAACATTCCCTAAATGTCAGAATCTGATGTGTGTTTAGTGTGTTCCTCAAGTTGCCCGTTAATATTTGGAATCTTCTTCCGAATCCATCCCAGTTAGTGTGAGATCTGGGGACTGGTATTTTTAGGAGGTTTCCTCCTTGTCCTTCGTGCTCTGTATAACATGTACTATAAAATATAGCTATTTTAGATCTCTGACCTTTTGCACTGTTCTGCATTTTCTATATTCTCAGAATTTTGAATTTCCAGATATGTTCAAGTGATAATGCAGATGAGATGAAACATTTCTTGTACGACCTAACAAAAGACATACAGTATATTCATGAGAGAACGCAGCATAACAAGAGCTCAATAGTGTAAAGCAGGATGCTTATCATAGCTGCATCTGCTTTGATTTCTTCCTAGAAAAACACTGTACAGTCTCTTTGTGAGCTGGGGATGATCTTAATGTTTACAGACTCTTTGGGACATCAGGTGATGTAGTCAGGGCTTGCATGGCTGTATGTTAGTTGTGTGGGTTTTTTCTTTCAACATAGTGTGTATCTCATGACATTTTTAACTTCCTGATAAAAAGTTGTTTTTAATATGCACATGTACTGTTCATATGTTAAATAGGAAGGACTGTTCTCTTGTAAATGTAAACAGAGTCCAGTACACACAGCTACAGACTAATGCCTGTTCAATAACATCAGCAAATCCCCAGATATTTACAATTGTCCATTGTAATCCTTGTTTATTTGCAGTTCTTCAAATCCCTATCAAACAATTAATGACTACAACATAATGATCTTGTGAGACAAAGAGTGGTGGGCGTACAGTATGAAATAAGCCATGAAGCTGAAACTGATCTCCTGGCTGGTTTTTCTAGTCAAGGATGGATACGATCCTAGGATCAATCAGCTACTATCTACCAAATAGGTTAGATGACCAAATGATTCCCTTTTGTTTGTAACTATTCTTATGTTCTTAAGGTGTAACAAGAAAAGCGGCATCTTTACATACAGTACCTGAGAGAGCCACAGAATCTGCATTTACTGGACTGCCATCAGTCCAGTGTCCGTGAAGGGCATTGGAAGGGTACTGCTGTCCTGAGTCACTGCCCTTTGTGTGCCAAGGCAGAGGGTGGGTACCATCGTGTGCCCAGGCCAGTGGGTGCCTGTGCCTTTCCAGAGCCCTTAGAAAGCCCACAGCTCCACCCAGGACAGCAAAAGGCTTTGGGAGATGGCCGACCTCAAACAGCCCAGCAAAGTCCCAAAGCCTCTTGCCCCGATTTAAAAACATAATCTTGAAATCGCTAAAGGTCTTAAAAATACCACATGCCAGAAACTATAGACTTTTTATGTTCGAAAGAATTCCTGTCTTGTTTTTTCCCCCCTCGGATTATATTAGATTTCAACTTACAAACATCTGCGAATGTACTCCAATAGATTCTTGCCTTCAAGAAAGAAAAAGTCTGCCACTGTGCTTGCTCTGGAAACCCTTTTAATTGTATTCGCTCTGAAGGTTCCTAGCTTCCAGGCTTCTTACCCGGCGTTATATGTTTCTTAATGCTAGCTAATGCCAAATCAGACTTTGGAATGTGTTTTTTTTTTGTAATTGGCGAATTGTGTTAAGAGGATTTCAAGGCTAATCCTCTCCGCAGCTGCAAAGTCGAAGTGTCAGATACAGTACGTCGCTGAGATTTGCACTCACGCTAACAACGTGAGGCCTTCGGATATCCCGCTTTCTAAAAACGACCTTCACTGACAGTTTCCGTGGGGTCAGAGCACTGAATCGTTCTTTTTCACACCAGGTCGGCATCGGATACATTGCACCTATTGCTCACGACGAAGGAATAAGACTCTGAAATGAATCATTCATATTTAATTTATACCAAAGCCTTTTGTAGGCAATGGTTAGTGGGGCATCTTCCCTGGGAAGTTTGTATTGACCGTCTCCCCTCGGCCCAGAACGACAGACTCTTTATGGAAGCCAAGGTCCAGGGGAGACACGAGATGAGAAGGTGGAAGCTCTGCACACTGGGCTACTCTGAAAGACCAGTCAGTCTAAGCTACGAAAACAGGGGTGGCGTTTGTGGCTGGGTGGGCCAAGGGCTCTTAAAAGGTACAGGCACAGACCACGGCCACCACCACCACATTGCCGATGGTGGCGATGATGGCGATCCACAGCCAGATGGCGTCGCTGGAGATCTTGGGCTCCTCCTCGGGCTCCGGCGGCCGGGCAAAGCTGGCTTCCAGGTTGGAGGTGGAGGTCTGCAGGGAGGTGTTGCCGTTGTACGGAGAGTCCAGGAAGGCCCCGCTCACAGCCGGGAAGTGCTGGGAGAGGGAAAAGGGGAAAGGAATGAAAGCGCCTAAGAAGAGGCCCATGCAGCTCAGTTCCTCGGGAGCGGACAGTTATTTCCGAGTTCCATACATCCACAACTCTTTGTGTAAGGAAGTGCCTCCTGTTCTTAAATGCATTCTCCCATCTCCACCTGTCTCCTGCCTCCTCTGGTTCCCCACCTGGATGAGGGGACTGCTGCCAGAGTGCCCCAGTACAGTCCCCTCACATTAGCTCTCAGTGGGGAGGAGAACAGAGAGATGAAGCCAGTTCAGAGATGGGGATTATTAGGAGGCCATGATGCATAAAGGTCAATGGGGAAATTTGGCCAGGACACCAGGACCCATGCAAAAGAATGACATTCAGGCCCAAAAGAGTTTCTGAAAAAAAAACTCAGATAGGAGCAAGCAACCAATTGTCCTAAACCTAACTTGGACCCCAAAATCCAGCGCTAAACTTAAAAATGGTCTAATTACAGTGTGAATACTAACCCTAACTCGACCTGGGGTGTCCACTGAGCATTTCCACGATCTACATATGAACCTCTCTTGGCATCAGATGTTGGCATATTCCCCAAACCAAAAAGTATGATTGGGAAACAATCAAGACCAGCGATTAAAGCCCATGCAAGAGAGTGACATTCAATAATCCTTGATTACAACTTTAGGTCGGACCGACTCAGTTTTGGGATTCAATTACCGCGCGGTGCATGTTTAAATGTTTAAACCAGGAATAACACCCTTACTCTTTCCAATAAATATTTAATGACCATGGAGGGTCAGCACCTTGGTTTTACATCTCATCCGAAGAACAGTGCTTTTTTTATTTTTACAGTATAGTATCTCCATCACTAGGGCGTCAGGACCTACACAGACTGCAGGGTGAGCGCCCCCTACTGGCCTCGCTAACACCTCCTCCCGCAGCAGCCTTAGCTTAAACAGGGGGTCTCATCTTCATGTCCTGGCCAGGCTCCTGAGCTGAGCTCCAGCGGGCTGCCACTGGTGAGTTGCAGGCTGCTATGCCTGCTGGCTGTAACCTTTGGCAGTCCATCGCCTGCTGCCGCTTTGAAGAAGCCTGCTCACGGGCCAATGCCAGATCAATACCCCCAGCCATCCGCGTTTCTGCAAGATTTCTCCCAGCTGCGCACCACCGCAGAGGCCAGAGCTCCCATTCACTCGCCGAGCAGCAGAAAGGTTCAGTGGAGCGGACACAAAAATAAAAATATATCATACAACCGGCAGCCATCAAGCTTCTTCTTCAAAAGCGGTCCTGACGCATCCGTCTCTTCGTGTGCTCACTTGGCTTTTCACGCCGACTTTCTTTCTTCCGCTCGGACATGTGTCAAAATATACCGCAGGTATGTCCTGGAGCTTCTAGTAATGCCGAGCGATTACCTGCGCTCGAACGGCCCTGTGCTCTCCGTTCTTCTCTTGGTCTCACAGGGCAGTGAAGACTACACAACCTTGAGCGGGCTTCCTTGGGTTGAAGAGTTACAGCCACAGACATTTTGATCAGCGAAGCATGAATTCATTCATGCAAGACTAGCATCTGAAACTACCGTAAAGAAAAGGGTTTTTTTTTTCATAGGCAATGCATTATTTCTGGCAGAGAGACTGTATAGTCACTACAGAGGAGGACAATGTCCTAAATTTGGAAAATAACAGTAAAGTGCCTCTACTGTTATAACATAAGATGGAAGAGCACAATACTGTAGAGCTGAGATTTGCACTTCAATCAATTCAGCAAAGAGCTCCTAGGATACTTCCTCACCTTAAAGGAATATCACAGTCAGAGATGACTTGAGAAAAGCATTTGAAATCCTATCAGATATCGATCATGTCAGCCCAGTACTGCTGACATTGACTTGTGGACACAAGTAAAAATGAAGAAGACGTGCATTTAAGACATGATTGTGTAGCTTGTTCTAGAGTTGTTGGTGTCTAGAACAAGCTACACAGTCATGGAGCTGAATTCTGAGATTTCTGAGAAGTGAGTTGGAGTGGCCTGAAGTAGATTTGTCAGAGAGCTGATTTTCATACCTAGGGCATAGAAATGTCAGGAAACCTGAGGGAAATCGTTGCTATGAGTACTTCCAAAAACAGTTTCAAAACGTACTATTTCCCACAAGGCAAAACTTTGAGCCGTGTAGTTGCTCTGGCTGCTGAAATCACAGAAGTTGAGAAATGCAAAATTCTGAATAACCAATTTTACTATTAAATTTTTAACTTCTAAGATCTAAAAAGATGAAAGAGAGACGCAGTGCTCACCAAGAACTAATTTAAAATATGAGACAGTTGTTTCAGAATTAAACAGCTGGCTTTGTTGGCCTTATTACTGCTCTGCTGGAGTTCAGTAAAGCTTGTGATTGCACTGGTTGGCAGGCACCCCACGTCAAAAACACAGAGAGTTTTTTTTTAGAACAATCGAAAAGCTGAGAAAGAAATTTCCTCGGAGAACGGCCCAGTTAGGAGGTAGAAGCTGGTTCCAGCAGGGCGAGATCATTATCGCCCTGGCATGACCATGCTCAGTGTGCGCTGAGAACAAAGACCACTGGGTGGAACGGTGGCTCTGTGGCTGAGGATCTGCGCCTGTGGCTGGAAGTTACCCTTCCCGTGGCCGGCAGAGGAATCCTACTCTGTTGGGCCCCTGAGCAAGGCCCTTAACCCCAGCTGCCCCAGGGGCGCTGTACAATGGCTGACCCTGCGCTCTGACCCCAGGCTTCTCTCTCCCTGTCTGTGTGTCTCATGGAGAGCAAGCTGGGGGATGCAAAAAGACAAATTCCTAATGCACAAAATTGTATATGGCCAATAAAGCGATCTTGATCTTATTTCATGAGTATCAAATTGATTTTGAAATGAAACCTGGTGAAATATCTTAGACGCACTTGTGTCATAACTGTTCACTTTGGCTGATAATCCTTTTTTTTGTTGTTGCGTTGTTCCAAAGTTTCACGGGCTCCCTGCAGCTGGATAATGACTTTATCATGAGAAACCCGAGAAGGAGGCTGCCTTGCAGCTCCATTTAGCTAATGATCCCATTCTGCTCTGCATTACATTACATTCGGTAATTGTTTGATTCCGTTATTGTGTGCTGTAAGCTTTAGCTTGTTAGCCAGTTAGAAAGAGTCAGCCCTGATGGACCTTTTTGACAAAAAACTATTCACCACAGCGGCTATTCACCACAGCGGACAGCCACTTCACAAAGGAACTCCAGTAACCGAATAAGATGCAGAATAACTTCTGCAGGACTTTGTGTTGATTTTCAGACCTATTTGGGTTTGCTGCCCCCTATTTGCATAATTCCTTCTTTCGAAAGGCTGCAAGACAACACTCGCTATGAAACTACAGTGGATTGACCGAGAGTTGTTTTTTTAAAAAAAAAAACAGCATTCACCACATTGCAGTGGATTACAGTCCAAGCCATATCAGGAATACAGCACACGTTCTCCATTTAGCATAGAATCTTTAACCATGAAAATGTACCACGAATCTGGAAACAGTGGGAATTCTCATTTCAGGGTTATGACACGGATCACAGTCTTTAAAAGACAGACCTGCAGCACTGACCAGAGTAGCAAAAAATTCCTATAATAAAACCATTTCTCATTCATGCTTGAATCCAGCATTAAAAACTGTATGATTCCTGAGGATGTTAAAATTGCAATAGTTTGTGTGTACTGCATGATAAGTGCATAACGGTAAAAATGCATTTGGAATAAGAACCAACGCTGTGATCCACACAAATGCCAAGATGTTAGGCCAAATGAAGGGAGTCAGAATGATAATGCAGTAAAACAGTTTTTCCACTGTGCTTCAAACACTGTACTGAACCTCAGATCTAACATTGGCCTCAATCTATCCAATCCGTTTCCTTAGAGGGGTGGCAGAGATGCAGATGAGAACTACATTACTTCCATTATTCTCTGCTTTCGGATCATTGGACAGCTGGAAAGATCACTCTGTTTTTCCAAAGGGATTAAACACACTTGATCTCTGTCCATGCTGACGTTTCTCATCTCTCATAGGGAACTATGGGTTATGTAACATATTTTCTCTTCCCCTTATTTCTTTTTGCTGCTTCTGCAATTTCTACAACCACACAGTACCCTGAAGCAGAAGTTGTTGTTTTTTTTTCCTGGATAGAATGAAAAGAATAAACAGGGTCAATTCATTCATTTTGGGTGTTCAAATGACAAGACTGGTTCATCTCGGTTCAGCACACATTTTTACAGCCTGTCATCTCAGGTACCCGACCTGCATGACAAACTGTACTGTGGCACCACTGTGTAAGCACTGGCTCGTTGGCAAAACCTCTGGGGCTCAGACAGTAGAGCCTTAATTACATGCAGTCCCCATCTCCCCTGCTCACTGTGTGCTGTACTGTCTGAAAATTATCTTACAGTGTACACACACTTGAGGGGCACAGTTCCATTACTGCTGTATTTTCCACTTAAAATAGAAAACCAATGCAAATGTTGATTTAAATTTTACCTAATGTCACATTGGCTGCAAAGCTCAATCTCTCTTTTTGTAAGTCTTTTAAAGAGCTAAAGAAAAATAAAAGTTTTGTGAAGGAAGTTATTTTATTCCAAACTGAAGGATGCCCGCCTACAGTGCAATTTATTATCGCTATATAATGATGATTTATCACCGGAAGCATCAGTAGGTTTTCTAGGCCCTTTTTGCAGAATTTGAGCGCAACCCCACATGAGTCCTCCACACACAAAGCCTGGAGCGCTGAAAGCCAATTGAGGTTGCTCAAGTGAGGCCATTTTGGAAACGTTCGATTGCATGCTCATTTTTCGAACGGCAGAAGAGGATTTTTTTTCCTCTCCTCTAACTGTGCTGACAACTCGTGACCCGTAACGGAGAAGCAGTGCCAGCTGTTTTCCTTTGCAGACTATTAATGACATCCCTGACTGCATCGGGAGATGTAATTATTTAGTCTGCAAGGTGTCCACAACGCATCAAGGACCATTAGAAGAGCCAAGTCACAG